CTCTTGTCTTTTTCCTTTTACATTTTCTTTTCTTTTCATGATGATAGTGGTGAGGCTCTGCCTCCCCTGACTGAACGTCCCTGTTCAACACACACACAACACCTGAGCCTCTCTCTTCTCCTTTCCACATAAAATTTTTAAGGGAGAAAAAGACAGAATAGCTGGACAATGGGCTTTTGCTGGTAGCACTAGGACACTACCTGTTTGGAAAAGTCCTGACTTCGCACCCTGCCAGTGGCAAGAGTTAAAGAAAAACATCAGAACCACCACTGCTTTTTCTGCAAAGGATAATAGATACCCAGACAGGATGGATAGCTCAAAAAAAGCTCCACTGCCCCTGATTATGAACCTTTCAGTGGGTTCTTACTTATGCATGTCTAGGAAGAGGGGCGAGAAAGGAGAATCAAGGGTTGTGAAAAAAAACATATCTATCCTTGTCAAAAGCTACCAACCCTATTCTTTTAATCCCAATAGTATTTGTTAGCATGTCTATTAATTAAAGACACAGGCTAAATTTGATGTAATTCAAAAGTTTATGTATTTCCTCCACATCTAGAGTAGTCGATGTGCCAGTGAAATATATCCTGTCTTTTGTGCGATATTTTAGAAAGAACAACTTATTCTACGCAGTGACAAATATAAAAAAAAGGTAACATTAAACAATGATGCAATGGTATTGATGGGATTATATAACCCTAATTCCATCTTCAAGAGATGACGGCTGTCATTAAAATCAATGCAACTTAATTAAAGCAAATTATAGATAGATACGTCTATAAATAAGATATTAAAGTGTGCTGCTGAATATGATAATTGCTGCATATTTAGTAATCAGTGTGTATGTTCTGCATTTGTCAAGAGGGGTTTCATTCAGTGGAATCAATGGAGCTTTATTAAAAACCATCCAAATTAGAGGCAGAAATGATGACTCTTATAATAAGGCAGAATCACTGTTTCAGCTTTGATCACAAGCAGAAAAGCAAGGACACACCCTTTCTCTGCGTGGAGAAAACACCAGCACTCTGTTCTTTCTTCCTTTCTTTCCTTAATTATTCGGTTTTTAAAAGGAAAACAAGGATGTTTGAAAGTGTAATTTGTACCTTTCGGATTAAAGGAAATTTGGAAAATCTGGAAGGATTTAGTTAAACAATGTGCCATAGAATCTCAAGACAGAGAAAAAAAATATCTGTTGGGTTGTTTTCCTGATACAAAGAAAGCATTTCAGGAAGATTGTGGATCTTGTGATAATGACTGATATTATGCAATTGGCTGGAATGTGTCTGATAAAACTTAACATTTTATTCTTCTTTATTTCTGTCCATGATTTAATCCCCTTTAGATGGGCACAGCGAGCTATATATTTCTTGCGCATTTGCCTTCCCCCACCCAAGCACACATACATGTCCTAGGCCAGTGGTGGGTGTCAAAAATTGTTTGAACCTACTCTGTGGGTGTGGCCTCCTTTGTGGGAGTGGCTTTTGCGGCCCATGTGACCGGATGGGAGTGGCTTGCCGCCCATGAGACCAGATATGAAGAAGAATAAAATGTT